TGCGCCCGGGGGAGCGCTGGGTGTGGGGGCCAGCCCCAGCAGCGCTGCCCTGCCCTCGGCCCCGAGCGAGCTGGCAGAGGACGCCCGCGTTTGCGTGGGGCTGAACTCGTCCGCCCAGCCCCTGGGCTGGGATGCTCCAGGCCTTCTGCTTCCGCGCCGTTACACAACCGCTGTAGGAAGAAAATTCCCTTAGAGCAGGTATTTGCAAGCACAAGTGCACCGGTGAGCGCTGCAGAAACGCCAGCTGCAGTGGTCCAGAGGTTACCGGCCGGCCCGGGGCGAGCGGATTACCTCCCCAGGGGAGTCTGCTGCTCTTTGCAGCAACTCCAGCAGAGGAATTTCTAGGAAATGAAAAGCCAAGGCAGTTTCATAGAGTAAAATATCTTAATGTTTATTGTGTTTCAGGACAAAAGAGTTCTACTCGATACACAAAACGAGTCAAAGCAGCATATAATACTGACAATCAAGTCACAGCTGATTCGGTGCAAGGACACCTACCAAGGTAAAGGCACCAGGAGCTACATCACCAAACCTCACTACAGCTTACACAGAGTCACTACAGCCTGTACTTTAAAAAGTACAACTATAAAAAAGTATATAAAACCCAGGGCAGGGATGAGAGGGAGCTTGGCAACAAGCCGAGACCTTGCTGAGCCAAGGGCTTCAGGCAGGCAGGGCTGTGTCGTAACAGGGCAACGGCCCCGTCTCGAGAGCAACCGCGTCCGGAGAGCGAGGGCACGCCGAGGGGCTGCCAGAGACGAGGGGAAGCACCGCTTTCCCGACGGAGGCACTGAAGGTGAGCGCTGGGATTCCCATGAGGCCGTCAGCACGGTTGGTTCAGCACAGCACGGCACGGCACGGCACACGAGCGTGCTGCCGAGGACAGAGCCGGGGCCCGCGGCGCCCGGAGGAGCGCGCTTGCTGTAACCACCGCAGCTACACTAATTATCCCACGCAGTGGCACAGCGGAGTAGTGTCAGGACAAGTCCCCGAGCGCACCAGGACAGCTGCTGCGCTCGTTTCTACAAGCTAGTTGAGAAGAAGATCAGTCAGTTCAAAGCAAGATTTCATGAGGGAAACTGGAGGTGGTAGCATCCTCCCTGGCCACGCAGAACACACCCTGCAAGGCACAGGATGAAGCGTTAACAGACAAGGCTGGATTTATACACAGCTTACGGTGACGTAGCAGACACGGTCCTGCAGGTGCCCTCTACACCCGCACGCCCCCAGAAGTGGTACCCTGTGCCCCAGGGGCGACGGGGCCGCAGGCAGGGAGGCAGCGGC